GGCTGCAAGATGCGCATTCGATTCATGCCGAACCTGCCTGTGTATTTATATACGTGAACTATATGTTGTTCCTAACTGCAGCGAGACTGCTGAAACATTTTCAGATGCTGCAGCCCAGCTCGGCAGAACTGCATGGTCCACGGAGGGTGTCGGGAGCTACCAGGGTGTGAATGAACCTCGCAGCGTGAGCAAGGCTTACGTGGCCTCTGCTTCCTGTGGTGACACGTTCCCAGGGAGAGCCCGGATCCGCGGACGCAGGCGGGCACAGCCATACACCCAGACACATCTCTTCCCCTTGGCATGGCACAGCTGGGCTCCGAGGGGTAGGAAGGGAACGCCGAGCGGGGCCATGGCAGGAGGGGCAGGAGGAAGGAGGGAGTACAGGGCTTGGACAAGATTGATGGCCTCGTTGCCATTAAGAAAAAAATTAGCCGGTGGCGGCTATCATATTAAAGGGTGAAGAAGCCGTGAATTATTTTCTTAAAGATCTTATCACTTACAATGATAATTTTACCTTCCAAAAGGCCACTTTTAATGAGGCAAGCCAGGCAAAAAGTCATGATTTAATGCCAGATTTTTTTTTCCAAACACATTTTACTGCTTTTTTGTCCATGTTTAAAAAGCGCCGGTGACCTTTTTTTATTTAGCTTGCCCCAGGTGTAATGCTCAGGCTGATCCTCTCAGGGTTTATAACCTCCGCAGAGAGTGCCTTTACCCAATGGAGAGATGATTTAAAGGGGAGGGAGAAATATGAGGCTGCACGGCCGCTCGCACAAGGCCCTTGCTCCGTCTCTGATGCTGGGAGCCACGGTTTGCCAGGGGAGGGAGGACCAGCGAGGGAGGAGGGTGCTCTCACCCCGATAGCCCCGCTCAGATGCACCCTAAAGGGGAGCTGGGCTGAACTGGCACCCAGGCGGGGATGAGCTGGCTGGTGGCCTTTCCCCAGCAGGAAAAGGGACATCTCAGCATCAAGGCTGGTCCCCGCCATGCCAAAGCGGCTGGTCCCTGAGGTTGGGAGCATCTCTGCACAGCCATACGGCACGCCCGTCTGCATGCAGAGCACCCAGTGCCGTGTTTTTTTGGGGTAAGAAGCCAGAATTTGGGTCTGCCCTGCAGCGTGGGCATGCAGGAGGGCTGGGAAAACACATGTACAGCTGCCTTTTCGCTTTGCAGCCGTCTTCCCAGATGCTGGTTGAAAGAGGGATGGGGATCGTATCGCTGCCCCTTCCGCACTTGCTGGTACCCGGGTGGGAGTGAGCAGTGTGGGTGGAGGGGGCAGCAAATCCTTGGCTTGGCATGTTGTGGCCAGGCATCCCCGCC